ATTAGGGAGATGAGATAATATTTATGTGGAAGATAAACAATATTCTTGTATAATAAGAAACATTCAGAGAACAAAAAGGAGGTCTTGGAGTTAAAAAATGTGATAGCAAAAAAAAACTCCTCTGCAGAGTATCTAATTCATATGTTTTCTTCAGTATTTCTCTATCCTTTCTATATCTAATTTAGTAATTTCATATTTTATCTGCAATTGGTTATGTTTCTTATGTTCACTTCCGTTTGAAAGAAGCTATGAGTTTCAATATTTATGCATTAGTTTATTCATTAGTGAACTCTGTATTATGTTAATTTTCTATGAGTATTGTTATTCAGGAGATAGTTGGATGCTCAACGTCTCAGATTTGGTTAGTCACACTTTCCTGCTTGTTATTCCTCTTCCCTGTTTACTTTAATAGGTTCACTACTTTTACCTGATTTCTAGATGTTAGAGTTTCTCAGTAGTCAATTCAGAGCTTATCTCTTTGCATCATTTTCTTATGTGAAGACAATAATATCCCTAGTTCTAAATGATACCATAATTGATAAAACTCTCTAAAAAACACTTTTTACAGAGCAACTACAAATAAATGACACACTGGCTTAAAAGTTTGCAACTTCAGTCACAGTGCTAATATATGAGCTTCTTAAAAGTAAAAATCAGAAAAATCAACAACGCTAAGGAAAAATTGACTTTTCAGCAGACTGAACACAGAAAAAGACACAAATGACAACAGAAAAGATTAAAGATTCTCTACTCCACTCAAGAGAGTTCAAATTAGAACTGTTAAAGAAAAATCTGAGCTGAGTTAAATCTAAGTTTATTTGAGCAATTAAAAAAAATTTCTAAAACTCAGCAGCATTTCCCATGAGGTTAGTTCAAAATGTCCCCTAATGCTACATGTGTAGATTGTATTTATGGCCAGAGAAAAAGAAGAGACAACCTGATTGGCTATAGTCATCATTGTCTTACCTAGTCACGGTGTGATTTGATGAGGCATTTGCTGCATATGCATATGGTTTAATCAGTTGGCAGTCTGTGATTGGCTAAAGCTCAATTGCTATGACTGGTTGAGACTCAGTTACTTGGTTACAAAGGTTACAATTTGTTTACACAGTTCACTATTGCAGCTGCTTTGGGTCAAATTATATCATCAAAGTATAAAGACATGTTTAGACAAAAGTTAATTCATTTAAACAGAATTAATATTGAAATACCATTTTTTTCTACAAACACATTTTAATAAAAAGACATCTGATAAGAATCTATAGAAACAACCACATCGCCAAGGAAAACCTGTAACATTAAATGTTTTACTAGTAAAAACATAAACAGAAATGTTTCAAATGCAACTGAAGAAGCTTTATGAGATAAAATAGAGCAAGAAAAGTCACAATTAAGAAAGTTCTGTGCCAATAGGAAAATGAAGTAATGCCAGAGCAGAACTAAAATTTCCTTTTAAATCATCTTCTTACTGTGGTCTCCATGTGACTTAAACCAGTGAGAGAGCATGCAAAGTGCACAGGGATTGGACCATAGGTGGGCTCTTCTATAATCTCCACACACTCCTACTGTCCAGTGATAGCCACCCCAAATGCAGTTGGTGATCCCTAACAGAAGTCCTTGAAGGAATATGCACTAACAAATAAACCATGGAAGGAGATCAGAAAACACTACAATTTTGGTACTTAACATTTTCAATAAAATATAAACCATCCTTACTATATTGAATATTTTCTCAATGATATGGCAGTCAAATTTAAATAGATGACAAATACATGGAAAAATGCCTTGACTCCACACAATGTTGTTCAATTGTCATAATACTACAAATGCATTTGAAATTTTATAGATAGCTGTATTGTCTAAATGCTCCTCAAAGAAATGCATTAATCATGACATAAAGAATTACTTTAAATTGAAAATTAAAGTTAAAAAGGTGCTGTATGGATTGGCTTTCTTTTTCTTTTTTTAAATTGTTGTGCTGGGGGTACATTATGGCATTTATCAAGATTCTTACAATGTATCAAATATATCATACTTGAATTCACCCCCTCCATCATTCTCCTTTATTCCCCTTCCCCCCATTCCTGGAATAGTTTCAACAGGTCTCATTGCAATACCATTTTTATCTCTTAGCAGGTTGGCAAAAGTCTAAGAGTTTGACCACATACTGTATTGGTAATGTTGTGAGAAAGAGCACTCATATTGAATCAGTTAGCATTATGTTGCTGTGACGAATTACCCGGGAAAAGCTGAAGAAGAATTCACTTTGCTTACAGTTTCAGACCATTCTTGGCAGGGAGGTGTGGGGAAGAGTAGTAGAGCTCACATCATGGTGGGGAGAGAAACAACTCTGCTGTAGGCTCTCTCCTTTCTCCCCTTTTACTGCATCTGGGCCCCAGCCTATGGGATGGTGCCTCTCACATTTAAGGTGGGTCTTCCCTTCTTAGTTAATCCTCTTTGGAAATGTCTTCACAGATGCACCCAGAGGTGTGTTTTACTAATTTCGTAGGTACATCTCAATCCAATTAAGTTGATAGTCAGGATTAACCATCACACATACATTGCTGGTGGAAATTTTTTAAAAAAGAAAATAAACTCTAGAGGGGAAATCGTCAAAAACAGAATTACATATCCATGTACACTTAGATTCCAAATTCCTACTTTATAAGGTCTCAAGAACTATTAGTTTGGGCTGACTTCAAATTGCAGTCCTCCTGATCTCTGCCTCCTGAGTAGCAAGGATTAGAGGCTATGTATTTATCATCATTTTAATATAACATGAAAAAAAGTTCATTTGAAATTATATATTCTGCATTATTTTGTTTACATAAATATTTAAACAAAACATGAGACTAGTTAACAGTGGCAATTAGTAGTAATTATAAGTAGGAATATCTAATTAAAAACAATGTGTGGGGCTGGGTGTGGTGGGGCACACTTGTAATCCCAGTTATGCATGTGTCTGAGGCCAGCTGGGCAGCAGGGGAAACCCTATTTGAAACTACAGCAAAAGAAGCCTGGGGCATGGCTCAAATGGAAGACCACCTGTCTAGCAAGCCTTGAGCTCAAGTCACAGTACAGGCATTTAAAAAAAAACTGTGAAAGAGTAGTATAAAATTAATACATTATGAAAAAATAAGAAGATAATTATAGATCATTTCCTAATGCAGCCATTTAGTTTAGCTTTTTTTCCTCTCATGTTTCAATTTAAAGAGTTAAGTTTTTATCTACTAATAAGATTCAGCCTTGTAGAAATTAGTTTCCATCTCTCAACTATATAAATAATATGTATTTCAAATACAAGTCTTGAAGCAGTCTTTTTCTTTCAATAAATGAATCTTTCTTATTAGTTTTTTTCACAATGTACACATAATATGAAATGACTCCTATGCACCTAGTTCATCTTTTCTAGCCAAACAGTTTTGGAGAAACAGCATGTATGTTGCTGTTTTACTGTAATTCTTTTGCATTTTCTTTTCCTCAATGTATTCAGTGACTACCAACTATGTGCCTAAGTGCTAGAGATACAGTGTTGATGAAAACAAAGTTACTACCCTAAGGAAATACATTCTGTAAGAGAAGTAAGATGATATTTTTTAATTTTAAAAAATAGTCAACTTGAGGGCTGAGGTTAGAGTTCAGTGGTAGAGTCCTTGCCTAACACAAGCCAGGACCTGTGTTCGATCCCCAGCAGCACACACACACACACTCACTCGACTGAAGTGTGACTTATTTATATACTTAAAATGCACACATTTTAAGTATATTTTCAATGAATTCTTACAAATGTGTTCCCTCACTTAACCATCACCATAATCACAATACAGAATATTTCTTCAAATCACCAAGCTCTACCCAAGTTAATCCTTTCTTGACCCCTGAGTAGCCACAAACATTTTATCATTGTAAGTCAGATTTGCCTGTTTTAGAGTTTCGTATGAACAGAATCATGCTTTTTGTCTGTTTCTTTTGCTAGGTTCATTCATGTTGTTGCATGTTGAGTTCTTGATTCCTACTTATCGATGATTAGAGTTCATCACATCACATGGATATGCCACAAGTTGTTTATCCAATCCCCAGGTGACAGACATTTACGCTGTTGGGAGTTTTGATTATGAATATTCAATGTGGCATTTGTGTGGCTACATGTTTTCATTTCCAGGTAAATACCTAGGAAATTACTGGGTCACATAAGTATAATTATAAGAAAACGATGGTTTTCCATAAGATGGTGCCATTTTGCACGCCCATCAGTTGCCTAAGAGAGGTCCAGTATCTTGTGCCCTTGTCAACGTTAGATACTGTCTTCTAAAACTTTAGCTATTCTCTTGCGCGTATAGTCATCGAAATGGACTTCCTAACCGTGCCAGTCCATTTGTATAACCCCATTTAAAAAACTGATCATTTTATTATAAATTTTAAGGAAAACCTAAGACATGAGTCTGAAGAAAACGGCTGGCTTGACGCTGATCTTTTTTTTTATCGTTTTTACATTTACTTACATTTGTACACACTGTTTGTGCCACCTCCACTCCCCATCCCCCTGGCTTGACGCTGTTGACACTTTCTTTTTTCCTTCATGAACCATTCTGGCGCTCTCTAGAAAACGTGTATCCGGTGTCAAGTGGCGCTAGCCTGCCCTAGCTGCCGGAGCCCGGCTGTTCCTTCAGCCCCGCCACCTGAAAGGCCTAAGGAAACCACTGCTTCCTTCCGCCCCTACGTCTCCTTTCATGAATCTCTGTGGCGTAGGAACAGGATGCCCCCGGGTTCCGCCCCCTTCCGGGACCCGTCCACTGCCAGTACTCGGTCTCAGGCTGGGAAACGAAAGTGGCTTCCGGTCTCGCGATTTGCTCTAATCCCGCGAGAAGAGAGAAGCTGGCGGTGGGGAGGAAGGGGGTGTGGCCCGGGAGCAAGAAGTACCCGGGAGTAAGGGAGAGGGGGCGGGGTCGCGCGCACTGGGCGTACGCATGCGCGCACGCGACGGTGGGGCTGGGCTGAGAGGGGAGGGGGCGGCGGCAGCAGAGGCGACATCGTTATTTCCGTGGCCTGGGCGGTGCGTGGCGGCGCGGGTGGGCACAGGAGAAGTAGGTAGGGACAGTTCTTGTGGAGCCACTGAGACCCCTTCCCGTCGCTCGCGTGTCCGAGAGCCACAGCTCTCCCCGTCTGCCGTGTGGCGGACCCAAGGGACGCCAGGTCACCCTGCGGCCCCGGCCCTCCGGCCGCGCTTTAGGCAGGAGCCCGGGCCTCTCGGTTGCCCGCTGCGCGCCTCGGCCTTGCCGGATATTATCAGGGCGACGACCCGGCGCTAGGCGCGCCCGCCCACCCGCGCGGCGACAGCTCTGTCTTTGCTTCCGCGCCCTGTGGGGTCGGGGCTGGGCCAGGCTGACCCGTGTGGCCGGACGTGGAACCTGTCCTGGCTCAAGTGAGCCCCAGCCCTGGGCCCGGCGGGTGGGACTATAGGGGCGCGTCCGCATGCTTTGCTCCCCAAACCCGGGCGAAGCTGGGCCCCAGAGAGGTTGGCCCCACGAACCCCATCCAAGTGAAGGGGTACTTTGGTAGCTGTCGCTTGGGGTCCTGAGGTTCTAGAGGGGATGCTAAATAGTACCTTGGTCATTTGTGGCTATTATTGCAAGTTGGGGTCTCTGGAGTTGGTTCTTTTTGGACAAGTGGTGGGATGGCTTGTGATTTTTTTTTTTTCCTCTAACCAGTGGGAAGGCAAACTGAGTCCTGGCAGGTGGTGGTCTGTTACATGAGCAGCAGTATCGTCAACGTGAGATTTAATTGCATTAGATAGCTTTTTGCAGTACCGTCCTTTGACTCAGAAAACTTCTGCTTAAACAGTCTAGTAAGTCTTTCATCCAATGCTTACACAGTTTCGTACATACTCTTGACCTAAAAGCTACACCCTCTCTTTTACACCAGTGTTAATTTTACAGGCATAATGGTTATGAAAGCTTCTGTAGATGATGATGATTCAGGATGGGAGCTCAGTATCCCTGAAAAAATGGAAAAAAGCAATACAAGCTGGGTGGACATAACTCAAGATTTTGAAGAAGCATGTCGAGGTGAGTTTGAATTTTTAGTTTAGAAATTCAAAGTTTAGGAAAGAGTAAAGTAAAATCATGAATACAATTTCTAAACTTCGCCTTGATAAATGAAAAAAAAAAATCAACAGGTAAGTTTGGTTTATCAAGTTTGTTAACCACACTTTCTCTGCCCTCTAATTTTAACTTTCATTTAAAGCCAGTATATATTTGATATAGCACTTAATACAGATGTTGAAGCATTTTTTTTCTTTTAAATTCTAACTTTAAGTAACAGATTAGAGAGTACATGGGAATAATTTCTAAATGTGGCAACATTAATTATGTTGACCAAACTACTTTAGTATATTTGAAGTTTGAAAATGGTAAGACCCCGATATTCCCTGCCTAATATCCTCCATTGTCTTCCAGTTGAATATCAAATAGAATCCAGACTCCTTCCCATGGTTTTATAAGATCTGGTCCCTGCCTACCACTCAGACTTCATTTTTGTACCATTGTTCTGCCTGTTCCAGTTACAGGGTCCTTATCTCATATGTAGATGGTTTGCCAGGGTCTTTGCATATTTTCTTTTCTCTATCTTAAATTGCTTTGCACCAAGCCTTCACATAACAGGTTCACTCTTCACTCTTAAATGTTAACCTCCCCTTGTTCTCATATCTTCAACTTCTCAACTGAATCGTCATATTTATTATCTTTATGTTTGTCAGAAATCATAGTTATAATTTTGATCAGCCTTACTCACTGTAATATAAGCTCTTAGAGGCAGAAATCATGTCTGTAACCCTGGCACACAGAACAGTACCTGGGACATACTGATAAATGTTTGGAAATAGCTGAGCACAGAGATACATGTCAGTAGTCCCATCTACTCAGGAGTCTGAGGCAGGGACATCACTTGAGCCCAGGAGTTTAAGACCAGGCTGAGCAACATAGTGAGAACCCCTTTCAACAAACAAACAAAAACAGCAATGCATTTTTGGAAATAAATGATTGGAGAAATAAGCATGCTTATAGTTTGAGGGGAAGGAGCTTAGGGAGAGACCAGCTTGGAGTGTGGCCGGGGGAGGGGTGGGGTGTAGAAAGGAACAAATAATAGAGTGAGAGCTTGAACTTCCAAAAGAAGATGGGATCTAGACCATAGTAGTGAAGTTAACTTGAAGAAAAGCATAGGGGCACACTGGTATAGGAAGAACCAAGATTAGGATGGCAGAGATATGGGTATAATTCTAAGTGACTGGGAAGGAATGCTGGAGGAATTCATACCTGATGGCTTCTATTTTCCCAAGTTCAGGTCTTTTGGTAATAGTGTGATGGGGTATGTTGGAAGTGTGCTATGAAGGAGAGGACTGAAAAGTTGGAGTACCTTCAGGTGGAAGGAGAGCCAGTTAAGTATAAGCAAAATGATAAATCATGTGCCTTACCCTTTTACTGTTTGAAATACATGTCCAGTGCAAGTATGCTTCAGTGAGAGATTGGAAAGAACATTTTAATGGAAGTTGCCCGTATATGTCTACAAGAAAGAGAAGTTACAGTGTTGGGGGTTTTTTCCCTCTTAGTTTGAGCTGTTTTATGGGCAGTAGGTTGGAATAAAATAGCTTCTCAGTAAATAACAGAAATATTTTGAGTCAGATATGGGCAAAAGTCCAAACTCTGCCACTTGTTAGCTCAGTTACCTTGAGCAGTTTTTATTCTAGTCTTATTTTACACCTCTTTAAAGTAGAGCTTTTATTTTATGGAATTTTGGAGATTAAATTAAGTAGTGGATGTAAAGTTTTTCTTTTGTAGGCACTTAATAATGGAATCTCTAATTACTTGTGATTTTTTTTTTTTAAATTACTGTTCAAAATATATGAAGAAGGTTAACATAGCATAACTTATTCTGGTGGATTGATGTGGAGAGAGCCCATAGCCTTAGAAAGACAATCTTTTGTATTCAGCCCAAGTTCAGTCTTCAAAGTCTTAGACTAGGATAGTGGTAGAATGGGATAAAAGGGTTGAACACTAGAACAAGGAAAGTTTATGTGGCTTGAAGACAAGCTGGAGTGGTGAAAGGAACACGAGAGATGTGTTCCTTAAATATTTCCTTCTGTGACAACAGAGGAGAGTGAGCACATATACTCTTAACATCTTTTTCCTAAATCTTACGGGTAGCATTCAGAGTAGCTCATAAGATGTTTTCACAGTTTCCTATTTTATTTTGGAAATACATGAAAAGTCAGCATTTTATACATATTTCCATTTGTAAGTTTTCTCCCTCCCAAATAGTTATGAAAATGTATAGCAACACAATGGCTGCTGTACCATTTTTTTAATCTTGTGTATTTGAATACTCAGACATCACCTACAGTTGTTCATACCACAGTTTGAAATCTACAGGTCTATAGAATTTAGTCTCAACTAACTGTAATTTTAATACCACTACTTGCTTTCATATGTCTGTGTGTGTCTCCTCTTATTTGTTGTGAGTTATCAGGAGAATTGAACCAAGAAAACACTTCAGAATGCTGGTAGAGAGATACTTTGATGTGGTTTCATAAATTAGCCCTGTTTATTTGTGGAAGGAACCTTGAGAAGAGATAAGTTTAATCTTCAGGCTGAATTGAGAGGGAGGTGATATGTCATTTTGTTGCCATCATCATACCATCCTATTAACTTTCCTTAATTAGCTCTTGCACTGTCTCATGTGGCATGAATGTGAAATACACTTCTTGGAACTAAAAAGTTGATATAGAATTAATCTTTACATACAGATTTAGGATTAAAGACTGTTGCTAGCTGTCAAGCTGTGGTATTAATAATTTGTTTTCCTTTTCTCTTCTTAAAATAACCAGATTCATATAGTTTAGACTTATGTTCCAGTGGTTTTCTAGAAACTAAATTTAAGCCTATACTGCTAGCATCAGGGAGGTGGATGCAGGAGGACCTTCAGGTTGAGGCCAGCCTATAGTGAGACCTGTCATACACACATACACACACCAAAAAAATTTTAAGCAGAAATGATTATATCCAATTTTTTAACAGTCACAGTGGTCTTTCTTTGGTGACAGTGTAATGGCATTTGGCAAGACACTGTGATTTTGGTTTTTTTCTTAGTACTGTAAAATAATCTACATACTGATGACAAAGTTGTTTTCCATGTACATTGCTCATTCTTTTAGTGGTTCTTCAAAGTTCTCTAAATCAAAAACAAACCTGTAATATTCATCATTTCTTTTGTTTATTGTTAGGCAGGTGGTGCACATTCCTTCATACTCCCTGTAACTGATCTTGAGGCTCTTTTTTTTTTTCCCCAAATTACTTTGAATATATGGAGCTATCACTTATTTTGCTTGATAATATATTACTATTTTAAATAATACTTAACAGGTTTTCCTTTTCTAGAAAACCTTGCCTAGTTTAAACCATCTCATTTTGCTACCTGTGAAAAGTCTTTTATCTTCATATTCCATTCGATTTTCTATATTTAGATGTTTTTTGAATTAGAAACCCACAGCCTACAGATTTCGTTTAAACATAATGTTCATACAGCATGCACACACTTACATCACTCTCTACTCTCTCTCTCTCTCTCTCTCTCTTTCTCTGTCTCTCTCTCTCTCTCTCTCTCTCTCTCTCTCTCTCTCTCTGCTTCTTCTGCCTATTAAATTTCTTCTCCTTTACCATGGGCAGTTAGCCTCCTCTAGTAGGATGATACTAGTAAGTATATAGAACCCAGAAATATTCAAAATCTGCTAACCTTCCATTCTTTCTTGTCCTGTAGTTAGGATATGGGCCTATCCTCTCATCCCATTTTCTTCTGTTTAATGTTCATTCTTCTGCAGTCTTTATTACATGTACTATTGTTTAAGGCTTCCTTGTCCATCCAGTTTCTTTAGCTGTTGCCTAGTACTTTAGGAAAACTCTTTTTATTACTTTCTTTTTCCTCTTCTAGAGTATGGAGGCTTAACCTTCTTGTATCTCTTTGGTGATACTGGGGTTTGAATTCAGGGTCTTGTGTTTGCTACACAGTGTTCTACAGTTGAGTCATACTACCAGCCTTTTTGCTTTGGTTATTTTTGAGATAGGGTCTTGTTTTATGCCTGGATCAGGCTGGCCCATGATCTTCGTATTTATGCTTCTCACCTAGCTGGGATGACAGGCACATCTCTATTCACAGCTTTTTATTGGTTGAGATGCTCTCTCTTAAACTTTTTGCCCAGGTTGTCCTTGAACTATGATCTTGCTGTTCTCTGCCTCCCAAGTAGCTAGGGTAACAGGTGTGAGCCACTATGCCTGTGCTCCTCTTCTATCTTTTCTCACCAGGCCATTTATGGGTGCCCAATATGTGTTTATTTGTTTTTTTGGTACTGGTGTTTAAACTCAGGACCTCAGGATTACTAGGTAAGTGCTGTACCACATAAGCCACTTTGCCAGTCCTTTTTTTGAGTTCGATATTTTCAAGATAGGCCCAGGCTGGCCTTGAACTGCGATCATCCTGATTTCTATCTACTGAGTAGCTAGGATTATAGGCATGAGCCACCGGCACCTGGCTTGTCTTTGTTTTAAGCATGAATGAATAGTCTCAAGTTATGCCTTTTCAAGCCAAAGAATATTTGTATCTGAGACTAAAGAAGGCTGAGAACCACTACATTACACTAAATGCTGTCATTTTCTGTGATTACCTAGAACCAGTATAATTATGAGCACAAGCATGGACACTGCAGTTATGGTGATATTTGATTATAATGTTATGATCCAGGTGGTCTGGAATATGCTTCTATAATCTTTTTTAAAAGATGATTATTGAACCAATTACATAGCATTTAAAAATTACAGTAATTGTGTAAATTCCTGGTAAGACTTTTTCTAGACAGCTTTCTCTTTCCTCTCCAATCCATGAAATTCATTTTGAGAATCATTGTAGAAATTACTGTTCGTTAGCACTTTATTCTAAGAGGATAAAGTGTAGACAGAAATTGTCCAGCAAAAGATCTAGGCACCATTTAAACAGTGTTTTTGATGATTTCATTTGTGGAAAT